AATGGAATTTAGCAGATAATGATTGTATAATATATTATGTCATATTTTAAAAATCTCCAAGCAAACATCGCCCACTGATTATATTTGCTGTGATACTCTTGTGATGTCGGGGCACACCAAATTGTGGTTCTGAATAAGGTTGGTGATATACCAATGATATAATTTTTCACATTGGCAGCGAATCCCAACAAAAGTGTTAAACGGAATTTCCTCTCCAGTGTTTCCCAAAGATTTAAACTGTAGGGATGGAAGGTAGACAGGAGTGCATGAAAGGAAGTGCTTTAAAAAAATAAATAATACCTGATATAATTTGTCACAAACACTAGAGAGGCAGATACTGAGTATTAAGTAAGTTCCTCATTCAATGGATGGATTACAACTCCACTGCTTTGGACTGCAGCTGATAAAAATAGTCGCTGTTCTGCTCTTTTGGTGTAGCAGGTCCAATTCTCTGCTTGGTGCAGGTGCTTGTTAGACCCTGCAGCAGGTCTTCAGACCAAAACAAGGTCTGCTGTTGCAAGCTGCAATCCAGTACAGTTTGAGTACATCGAGACTGTGGGATGACAGACTCAGGTCCTTAATTTTGCTGCAGCTGGGTGGTTAGTGCACGATGATATCCCTGTGCTGGTGGTGTTCTGTAACATCGTAATAATGGTGGTCTATGATCAATATTACAGCTGACCAATGACATTGTCTCAGTATTCCGTTAGCATAAGCCAAGATTTTTTGCTAGTGCTATTTATAAAAAAACACACACAAAAAAACAATCACTAGCAAGCCAAATTAAGTAATGTAGACTTTTTTCCTATTCCAACATGATTGGTCAGTTGCAGTTTTGATCCCGATACCAAGATTATTATGATAAAGCAGGAACAACAGGAACATGAAGATATCAGATGCAACAGCGATGAACTGCCAAAATAAGAGCAAGGGGATTGTCCAGTTGTAAATGGTTATTATTGTTTTGGACAATTCTATTGTTTTGAAAAATATACAAATAAATAATAAATTCAGACTATATTGTGCAAAAGGCACATATCTGGGAGCTAACTAACTTGGATAATTAATACATGTGTTACTGATTCAAAGTATCTACAGTTCACATGTCGTGATTCTTGGCCAATATGAATGAAGTCTTAATGGTTGTGATGAAATGATTGGTGGTTTTAAGCTTAATAGGGAAATGTCACTGTAAAAACCACATGGATAGTTCTGGTTGTACCAGTCATCACAAGAGTCTGTCGTAAAACATTCTCACCTTTACAGGACCAAATATTCTGCAGAGCAGACAGTTATGTTGAAAAATGACTCGATACATGAGGCCACATAGACTACAGTAGAGAAAGCGAAAGTCATTCTGTATGGGCTGACCAACAGGAGATTCACCGTCTCTAAAATCAGTTAAGACTGGTTAATCTATAACTGCTTTTATGAGGATTTTACCGAACGCACATGATTGACATGTTTTGTTTTAGTCTGAATAGTCTACAAGGTCAGACATCCCCAATGTTAAACAAAAACTGGCGAACTAGACAAATGCCTCGGAGACCTGCTGTTCAAACACAACTTAAGTTCATTTGACAGGGATCATTTACTCTTCATGATGCTGCTGTTTTCATCTGGGCATGTGTCTGAGTTGTGGGAGTTTTGTCTTTGTGTGCGTGAGTGTGAGAGAGAGTGATAAAAGACAACTATTCACTAGAGTCCATTTAACTTGCAGCCTCACTCCCAGAAGCTTGAGCCCTACTCCCACTAGCCCTTGCAGTCCGTGCAGCCCACTGCACGCTTTTCATTTCTGGAGGTAAGCAAGAGTTCTTCAACCATGGATGTTTTGTTTTGAAGGGCCTGTTGGTGCATGTTACCTTGTCTTCACCTGTCATATGGCTCAAGCGCGACAACAAAATCATCTGCCATTGAAATGACATTGAAAGGGGAGGACGTGATACTTATATAATGTTGATAATGTCACCCCTTCCCCCATCTTGTCCCTCTCTGTTCTGAGGTTTAGGCTTCTCTTTCATGTGCTAAGTAGGATTTGTGGCATTTGCAATACATCAAAGTTAATTATGGTCTCAATCTGTGTGAATCCCAGGCTTGTTTCATTTAGGATTGAAGAGTATTCAAAACAGTAAAAGCTGGTAATGGTTCAACATCAGGGCTTATTGGTTAGATCTCAAATAGTTTATAATTAGATTTTAAATGATGCGTGTCACTCTGTCCTCTCTCCGTTCTTCACATTATACCTAGCCAGATGCTTTAAAACTGCAATTGTTCATGGGCCAACTATGTGTGCTTCACTTTGAAATGACAGACTCAGGTTGAAGCCATCTTGCTGGTGAGGTAATGTTTGTATAATTACTGGTGAGCTGATCAGGCAGTCTGCACACATGGCATGAAAGCACTAGATGAGATCTTTGTGTCCTTGTGTCCTCTCTACGGTCTGTGAAATTTAGTGCCATTGGTTTTAGCGAAAGCAGGTTTTTTGCCTCCTATATTAAGTTTAGACAAACATTCTGCAGCATATTCTTTCACCACGGGCTGACTTTGAGTGTACAGTCTTAGAGTCAGTTCATTAAACATATATGTTTTACTGATATGAAGAGGGTCACGGTTTATTCAGCCTGAATCTAAAGCACATGTGCCAAGAAAAATGGGTGGAATGAAACTTGGAATGGATTTTTCTGCAGCTCATTCAAAACGCTCAATTCTGAGAATTTTCTGTATCAATGAATAGCATGAAAACACCCACCCATTTCACCTCTGGTCTCCTCTTGTTCCTGCTCAGCTTTCATAGAGAGTCAAGTGGAGCAGGCATTTAAGTGAGTCAGCTCCATACAAGAATGTAGAAAGGTTTTATTTTTATATATATTTATTGACATTTTCAGATTTTATCCATGTGCCAGTGGACATGGTCACAGTTAAGAAGCCAAATCGGAAAACTTGTGGTGATCCTATAGGATCATTACATAGCATCACATGTACCATCATGATGTATTTTAATATATTTATCAACCTCTTCTTTTGTTGGTTGGTTTGTTTGTTTAATCTTTTTTTTTTTTTTTTTTTGGCTTGTCCCGTTTGGATCTTTAGCCATCAGAATTGAAGGAAGATGCCTAGCAGATTTACTTTACCAAGTGGATCATCATGGCCTTGCCATATTGGTCCATTTGATTGACATTTATTTTATTTTTGGTTGTTACAGACGGGACTGAGGGATAGGACAGGGAGAAAGAAAGAATGAAAGAAAGAGAGGGAGAGAAAGAAAAATAGAGGGGAGAAGAGATGGTGAGAAGGGGGAAAGAAAGAAAATGTTTTGTTTAATGTTTTTTGCAATTTCATATTTAGATGGACAGTGGTGACCTGCCTTAGTGATGATTAAAATGTGATTTTAGGTGCTTTTGAGAAATTAAACCTTTCATTTGCTGACATTTAATAAGAGATGTATAAATTTAAAGGCTGCACAGCCGTGTCTAAATGCGATATTATCTGGCAAGAGTTGCAAAATCTGTCTTTGAATATTAGTCCCAGTATTAGTTGAGCCATGTTCAACTTCTTTGCCTGACAACATAGAGTTGTTTGCCAGATCTCTGAGTCAGCAACACTGCTGCGTCAACACTGGCCTCAAATCCTTGAGGGCACTGGGGCTTTTCACACAGTGCTAAAGATGGTGAATCCAGCCTTAAAAGATATTGACTCCATGGTCTGAAAACTGCAGAGTATTTGCTCTTTAAGAGATATGAAGATTTAGACTATATGGTCTAATAAAGTAAAATCAGAGATATTGCTGGTTGAACTGTTAACCCACTGGAACCTGCACTTAATAACATTTTCTGAAAAAGTTTTTTTTTTTGGTTTAAAGTTACCCTATGGAGTAATTTACTGCCATCAGTGCTAATAGGGTCACCATTAGATTAATAGAATTCAACATACAGGCAATTCACATGAGTCAAAGTTTTCTGACTCCTCTAAATCCTCAGTTTCAGGCTGACTTATTCTTAGTCTTGGCTTTCCATGTTCTCAGAGATGGTGACATGCCAAATACAGTGATCTTACAGTGAGCGCTTCTCTTACCTGCTGTTCAGATGTTGCTTTTACAAGGGGCAGCCAATCAAAAGAATTTTAAAATGACTAATTTTAGCCATTGGATGAACTGACGGGCTTACCCAAGGACCCGCTTTAACATAAACAAAGATAGTTTCCATATCAGTTTTAAACTGAGTAATTCAGTGCTATTCTAGAAAGAGTGAAATAGTAATTATAAATATATGGACCTAGAAATGAATACAATAGGTTCCCTTTAATAGTTTTGATTCTTTCTTTTAAGAGCCACTAGAAAAAGAGGCACAGCAACCCTGATTTTTCTACTTGTGATGTCAGCACAAGCAGTGACCTCCCTATTCATGCTGCTCTATGCAAGTTTGACTTTGAACCATCTGAACTGCCATTTCTAATGTGGAACACAGAAACGGAGCAGGGCCATAATTAGAGTGAAGGCTGTCACGCTGGCCTGTAGGGAGAAGGACTGAGCCACTCTGACAGAATACACACACAAACTCAGGTTTTACATGGATAAAAATAACTTCTAGTGACGACACAGTCGGCAAAGATTGTGCATGTAAAGTAGCAGTGGTTAGGTGCCAGTCTTTGTTGGTTTTGCATTCCATCTCTCTTCCTTAGCTTTTGAATCCCTTCCAGAAAGCATACTTGGCAAGTTATTAGACTCATTGCTCATTGCTTCCTGATGGTCTTCAGGTCTGACCTGAAACTTCCTCAGTGAGGATTGCAGCCTGTCTTTGAACTGCTTTGTTGTCCTGGTTGAAGAATGATATACTATCTTAATCTCACTGGCTGTAGCAAGATTTTTATAGTTAGAAATCTATGTGTAATAATGCTTTACATAACTGAAATAAATAAATAACTAAACAAATATATAAATAAATATATAAATAGTTAACCAAATAACTTGCGCTCTTATTAAACGTGCAATATTTTTGAGACATTTATTCAAGTGTCATCTCTGTTGTATCAGCAAAAACAGACATGTCCTCTTTATTAAAAGGCAAGTTACTCTTAATCAATCTTCTAAGGTACATTAGTCTTTGTGTGCATGTGCTCACATGAGGTTCACAGCTGTTTCTATCTTTTTTACAACTTGAAGCTTAGATGAGAAAGGACGGATGTTTTTATGTTGGATTGTGAAAGTGCCATCTTCAGTATACTGACTGTAAACTGTGCATGTGATTGTGGGACTCTTATCGTTGCTCTGGAGCTGTAAAGTGTGTTTTCAGGGCTGAACTCTGCTCTTCCCTGTGTAGAATTATCACTGAATAAAACTACTTTGGGAGAAGCTTTTAATGGTTCCTCCTGTTTGAGATATTGTTTTGTTTGGAGACCTGACAGCTACTTCAGAGAATTTGCCTGCATGCTTTGCACGTTACAGGCTGCGGTGATCAGCTGACCTGAACTCTCACACATACGCGCAGCACTCAGAAGTTACATTCATCACTGAACTGACGGAGCGAATTGTTTGCATGTGAATTCCCAAGTTTAGCTCTGAGATTTTATTTTTTTTGCTCGCCTGAAACATCAGACTTATAAAGCTTGCCATTGTTTTTTATTCATATTTTTTTGAACGTTGTAAAGTTTGATGATTTCCCAGTATGCATTGTGTTTAGCTACTTATCTTTTTACAGAGTAAAAAAAATGAGTCATAGATCAAAGGTGATGTAGTTAAGGTGAAGCTCCAATAAATGAATGAGGTAAGACTGTCTATGGAGTGAAGAATTCATGCAATAGGAGAAGAATCCATTGAGAAGCACAGCGTTTCAATTTCAAATAGGTCCTGCTTAATACTGACCCACCAGACTTTTGGAGGGGTGCCAGTTTGTGAACGTAGCAAATGCCCAGCAGCATCTGCTGATGATGCATTACCCCTCTGTCTCACAACCCCCCTTCACAGGATGTGAAGTGGTAGATGCCTGTTACATGATATGAAGCATGTTGAGCACAGGGAGCACGGTGAGTGTTTGGGATACGGAACGCAATCGCAGTGAGAAGGGAAAACACAAAGTCAGCTGGTATTAGATGTCATATACCTGCAACAGTCGAGGCTGTCAGCACCTGACCTGGATCACACACTGTGTGCCGTTCAGGATCCTCCCTGGATTACTTTTTGTTTGAGGACAGAGGAGGACAACGTGTCCTCCCTGCTAGTGTGTTTATGCCGCAGCTGCCTGCAGATGTGCCTGTGCAGAGGAAGTTTGGACCTAAGGAGAGTACTTGTCAAGACTGCTCCAGAGGTCACCACCTCTTGAACTTTGATAGCCATCGGTTCTGCTCATCAAGTCTTCAGAAGCCTCCTTTACATCTCCCTCTTTGGCATGATTTGGACACAATGTCGGATTCTAGTTTGTGGACAGTTCTGTCCAACTTTAACATGCCACATTTCTTCAGTGGAGCTCGCCTGCGTCGGTCCCAAAGGTAACATCTAAAACAGATTGAAGAAACTTGCTACTTTTTTTGTACTGTGTTGCTTTTTAGTTAGGGTCCTTCAAATAATGTAGTCAGGCTCAGATATGTGTCTTTACGGAGCAAAAAGTTTTATTTTCTACCAAATGGATTTACATGCACAGTTTCTGGAGCTTTGAGTGGCAGCAGGGACCGTGTTTACAGTAGTAGGTGTATGAGGCCAACGTGAATAAGAAGCTGGGTGTTCCCGTCTTGCCTGTTGTGCGTTATTTGCTTTGTGCAGTTGAATGTGTTGTTGAGGTAGTCTCAGGTTTCCCACATGGATCATTCATATTAATTTACAGTGAGAATGTGACAATGGGGATGGTTGTTTAATTGTTTGCTGTTGATCTTGTTTCAGTATGTGTCCATTGCCAATAAAATGTATTTTATTCTGACAAATTTTATAAAGTCCAGCTCCAGAAGACATGCTTTGATGTCATTTATTAGTTGACATGTTAAAGACTGACTGAATTAAAAATGTGTTGCTGGTTTATGGGATTTGGTGTGTGTAGACACTGGTTTATTGCTAAGCCACTTGATCCCTTTTTCCCTCATATACAGTATGACATGGCTACAGTACTGGTGAAGCTCATATACTGAAATTTATTTTTAATCCATGTCCTGACCTATTTTGCAGTGCAGAATAGCTTAACATGAGAGACTGGCAGTTTTTCTGGACATCTTGCATTATTCATAACTGTGTTTGTCTTTTTTCCCCCCACTGTTCGTGACAAGTTACCCATTTATTCACAAATATTATTAAATAATTAATGTAATGTAGATATTAAGATCTTTATATACCAGTAAATCTTTGACCTGAGATGAGCTGGAATGGATTTCCATTTATATATTTTTTTCATTACTTATAGAATCGGTAATGAGGAAAAAAGGGAAGGAGGATAAAGTAAGCTGTTTTCTGTAATATTTAATTTATGCCAAATTGACATTAGGTACAAAGTAAATTATATCATAAACCAAATGTGAAAATATATATTTTAAAAAAGGTGCAGATACAACTGGGAGTAGTTTAAAGGAAACAGCTGCCTTCAAAAATGAGCAGCTAGGCTTTTTACCCAAGCAGCAAGTATTTAAATACTATTAATAGAATGGTGTGTGTCGTATGTCTGACTTTGAATTTGGGTTTGTCAGCACAGAGTTGCAATTTGTGTGTCATTGCGCTTTGTCAGCTCACCTGACAGCTGTGACAGGGAAGCAAAACTTGCGGAAGTTAAAAGATTAAACATGGATTTTTGTTGACATGGGTCAGGATCAGACATTTCAGATTTATCTGGAATCGAAGGAAATCAAAGGGCTTTATCTATTTTTGCCTCTTCCTGTGTCCCAAATAAGTAACCAAGCTGAATTCTAAGAAATTGCTTCTGACAGATTGAAACTACTGTGTGTTTGAGTAATGTAGGTTACTGTAAAATGAGTCTTAAAAGTAAGATAAAAATAAAATGAGCTCTGCTGTGAATTCATTTTATGAGCACCCTTAGAAAGTATTTTAGTGGTTTAAAATAGAAATTTGTAGTAGTGCTTGTGCGTAATCCAACAATGGTTTGCTGATCCGGACAAGTTTGCATAATACTGAGACTTTTCAAATAGTTATGGATCCATTCCAGGAATCTCACACATCTGCAGTACAGCATAAATACTGGCCTACTTTCTCACTATCATCTTTGCCCAGGCCTTCTTTATCCCCCCCTTTAAAGCTTCACTATACCAACATGATTTCCCCCCCTCACTGTGGCCACGAGGGGCCTCTACCAAAGCTCAGCTTAACATCAAATGTGATGAAGATGAACTGCATACTGTCACAAATTGTGGAAGTCTTTTTGTGAAGTAATCCAGGAGCAGTTGTTTAAATCTCTCAATGAGTGGCAGTCAGCTCTGTAATAGGAGTCATGAAGGTACAAACACTGGGGTGGGCAATGTGAAGGTGAAACAACAAGAAGCTTGATTGGGCGACAGTGTGGCATTCACTTGGCTGAATGCTCGTAGAGAGTATAAATAGATGTCAGTAAATTTGATCCTCTACGAGAACCTGTGTACCAGATATTATTCACTCAGTCCCCATCATGATAAATGATTAATGGAACATGTCCACAGTCATGATTCACTCTAGAAACCAGAGTAAACAAGGATGACTGGGTTTTCAGTCAAAATCGGATTTCCCTTCTGATGTAGGGAGATAAACTTGGATTTTTGAGTGCCAGTGGGATAGCAGCATAACTACAAGAAGCTACAAGCAGCTTATGATGCTACACTGCTTTGTTTCCTTTTTTGTCAGAGCAGGTGTTTCCTGGGCTTTAAAAGGTGAAGAAGAAAGTTGGCCAAAGGGCATTCAAAATTGTCAATACATCGGCTCTGACTTTGGTTCATGTTCTCCTCCATATGGGTTTAAAAGAATTTCCCCGGTTTCATAGAGGGGTCGCTTTAATTGAACGTGTTTTCCGCTGTGATAGAAAATTATTACATTTGGAACATCTGTGTTTTTTTACGAGGCACATAATATTGAAGTTGAAATAAATTGTGTATACATTGGTGCTTCATTGGATATCCAAAAGGGGGGAAAAAAAGAACATTTTCAGCGCTATTTTAAACAACTTCCTGTGAGGTTGCTGCATGCCCCTGCATCTGTGATCTCAGCTTTGATGCTACTCTGCTAAATGTGCTAACAGTGCTGAAAGTATTGTAAACAACAGGATGGGAGCCAGTTAGCTGGAGGAAGGAAAAAAACAGGAAAAAAACAAACCAAAACAGAAACCACTTTTATGACAGACCATTCCCTACCAGCACAACATATGAATAGACATTGAAACTATGATGGCTGTTATATTCGGGTAAAAACAGCTACCTGTGGTGTTTCTGTGGTGTACTTGTGGTGTCAATAAAATGTAAAATTGTATCCAAGCATGTGAGTGAGCAAGCATATTAATGTAACTATGTAGCTGACTGTTTTTTTTTTCCCACTTGAAAAGAGAGAAAATATGTTAACATTGTAATAACAATATCTTGCCAGGTCTGGTTAATTCAATTGGCAATGAAGTCAGTGCTACAATGTAGCAAAATGTTGGTTGATGTGGCTACAACAGCATTATTAAAATAGAAATACTGTAGCCAAAACTGGTACGCTTTTAAATTGAAATAAATGAATATTATTAACTTAGATTGTGACTATAACAGATGGCTTTAAAAAGAGTGACCTTTTGTGCACCAATCTTACTGTGATACACCCACAGGTACAACTGAAGGTTCTTATCTACAACTGATACTATGATGTCACCGTGTTTCTTACCAGCCACCTACCCACAATGACCTTTGTACCTTTTATTCACCTTGATAAAAGCAACATATTATTTTAACATGGCATATAATTTGTGCCCATAAACTTGTGCCTGATATATTCAGATGTTGTTTGGTAACCACCGAGCAGGACCTAAGCATTGCAGAAGACACATAAATTAGTTATTTTTAAGTATATCAGTTTGAGTGCTTTAAATGTTTATTTCTTTAAAGGAAGGCTCCTGTGCGTTCTTTCAGTACTTTTTCTTTCAGTTGCTTAAGTCTGCCCAAAGTTCATCTTGGAAAATCATGTCCCATCAAGTCCCACTACTTCATTTAGCACTGAGCCTCTTTAAAGAAAAGTAAAATTAGTGGAAGATATTGTAGCAACCCCAGGAGGCATCTGCAAAGTGAGCACAAAAAGATTAATGGGACTATAAATGCTGGAATGAATTTAGTGGTGATTTGTTGTTTATTGTAGTTGTACAGTTAGATTACACTTTCTGTGGATGTGTGACGTAGTTTCCAGTGTTTGTTTGAGTGACAGCATTGTTTAGATAGCAGTAACCAACATTTGGACTGCAGTTAATCACCTGTAGTCTGTGTGCATCTTCAGTGGCTGTTAAATGTTGAATACAGAAGCATTCCCATAACCATGTGGATTGGTTTTTATAAATCTACAGTGCTTTGATACATTAGTCATTTATGCAGATTTTTGTAGGAACTTTACAGTCATGGTAACTGTAATGGTGTAGTTGTAACCAAGCAGCTGTGAGAGCCTGATAGTGAAGACTAAATGACAGTTTAGTGTTGGTAAATCTAGCTCCCAGTACTATAATTTAACATTTACAGCTTTGCTCTCAAGTCGTAGTGGGGTTTTGTAATTGTCACTTTTTGGGCTGCAAAAATCACTCACACTTAAAAAAAAAACACCTTCCAGTACAGGACTATGTTGCTGCTGGACAGCATTTCTAAGCCACATTACATTTTGTTACAAGGTATAAATATGGCCGTTTCTATCATCTTTAGCAGTGTTTCTGAAATCGTGTCTTTTGAGAGGACAGAGCATTGAGAGCTTATTGCAGCACATCAGCTGTGATAAAAGTTTCTTGTTTCTCTTTGCTGTTGCCGGTGTGACATTGAGAGCTCTGCAGTGGCACCTCTTTGAGTGGGTCTGCAGCGGTGTTAACGTAATCATGAGGGACGCCTGCTCACGCTGCACCACGCCATTGCAATTTGATCAATCTGTGCATTCACTGCAACACACAGGATGACACTGACTTTTCTCTGTAGCTCCAACATGTATGGCTGTTTCCTCTATTACTGCAGTAAAGTACTTCACAACATTTCCATGCCAGTTGTCTTATTTCTCCCTCAAAACATTTTCTCTCCTTCAGTAAAGAAAAAAATGGAGGAGAAATGTGTTTGTAGGAAAATATGAAATAACATTTGAAAATTCAGTTGGAAATGGTTCACATCTCTGAGGAGGTTATGTAACAGGGTGTCATTGAGTGTCTGACCTTGAAGTGAATTCATGTTCTTCAGGCATTATGTGTTTCCACTGACAGCCTCTAATTTGAAATTATAAACCCAGCACGAACTTCATTGAACAGTGAAGGGTACTTTTATACTGAAATATTTCATGTTTTCCCTCAAGGTTAAAAGCTGCCCTTCCTTTATGAGTCACATGGTATTGGTCACAGTGGCTCCTCATGAGTCATAGTCCTGTATTAAATTGACCAACAAATATGGAAATATTATGAAGGCTGTGCAAAGAACCTGCTTTTTGTTGACTGAAAGATGATTTTGTTGTTAATGGTGTCTCTTATTTTAATGGCTGTTGGCTGGAGGACTGTAGCCTCCCTGTGGAGTATATTATGTTGAGGGCAAGCTTTGGCTTTCTAATTGATCTTTATGGCAGAAATACATTGCAAATACATTTATTTTTTAATAAGTGGAATGGATGTGTAGATTGATAGTAAAGTCAGACCTTTGGTGTCTGCAGGTACACTTTCAAGCCAGTTTTAAGAATATTTTTTTCAAAAATATTGGTGACATTTAGGGTTTGTATACCTATATCTACATATCCCTTTCAGACCTGGAACAATTTCCTCAAGAAGAGGAATGTTTTCCAGAACAAAACTGATAGTATCACATATGTTCAACGTTGCAAAAAAGAATTTTTGTTCTTTGTTGCTGACCTGTCTTAGCTAACTATTCTTGGTTGCTCTTCATATTTATACTTAACAAATCAAAATTTCAAAGCTTCATGCTGTGGGGTTTGCCTTCGTAGCTGGCAAAGAATTGATTCTAATTGCTATTGGATTCTTGCTTATATTCAAGCATTTCAAAATATTTAGTAACAGGTAAATTTTACAATTCAGTGTTTAATTATTCACTTGCTGGATTCTGCAAGTGTGTATGTCTGCAGTAAGTTTGTTTCAGAATCAGTATAATACCGCTAACATGCAGCCTACATCATCTCTGTGTCTCTCAGCTCTCCTTGGCTAAATTCCAAACGATTAGAGTTAATTATAAGTAGTTATCTTAGGTATTTACTCACTTTCAGCCCCTTGTTGGCAAATCAAACTGGAAGTTCAAAATCTGAGTCAACACACTGACCTCTTATTAAATAAAGAGTTCATGTTCTGTTTCACAAAGCTTGCTTCTCATGTCAGTGTCCAAGATGATGTGATGAAAGGCTCTTTGCGTAGTATCAGGTAAATAGTGCATCTCATATTGATTGAACAATCTTAGCACAATATTCATGCTGAAGTCCATGTATCAGTTGAGCTAACAAACAAAAGCGAGATGCTCGTGTCACTGGTGAGGTCAGGATTTTGTTGATTACATTTCAAAACTACCTGCCTAAGGCTCTGAAGCATGCACTGTTATCTTTTAAATAACCCATAACCCTTTTTTATGTTATACCTCTATTTTCTGCTTCATGTGTCTTGTCAGTTTTACAGCCATGATTTTTCCTGACTAATATGGCTCTGTGGTTTCACAGCTGCAGAACGAGCAACAGAAAAAGCCTGATAGGAAGTGGCCAGTCTTCAGGTTTACCACGACCCCATTCCCCTCTCTCATCTCTCACAGGTAAATGCATGTCCGGCACATCTCCTAATGTATGAATGCTGTGGAACGGCCCCATTGTTGGAAACATATGCACTGGGTGCATAGAAGAGGAGCCATTAATACAATATGTTCTCCAACAGGAATGCAGTCTATTGTGTAACGCACAAAAAAAGGTTGAAGAACAACACAGGAAAGTTCACAGTACAGTCTGTGCACCAACAGATAATCTGTATCCACAGGATGCACTTTCTGGTACCCTCATACAGAAAAATCTGGTTAATCAGCACTGGGTACTGCTAACTGACTCTAAACCGAGATGAAAAACTTTACTTTAAAAAATAAAATAAAACACTGAAAAATACAGATTTTTATGTTGTGCACTTTATTGTCTGTGTCAGGTCTGTCCTGTCATGTTGAGGTAACAGTTTAACAGCGCAGCGGCAAATTAAATGCAGTGATTATTTTGTGTGAGGAAGTGGTGGCCTGCAGAGAGGAAATGCACAGGATTGGGCAGGGGGGGCAGCCCTCATTTACCATAGGGCGTTTTATTTCCTGCCATTGGTCAGGAAAAACAGAGTCTCGGTGTTTGGTCTGTATTTCAAGCTTACAAGAAAGCCCAGGCTCTAAAGATGGATTCAGACCCAGAAAGCACCTGTGTTCCTGCTAATGAAAGTATCCAGCTTTGGGATTACTTAACACTGTGGCTCAGACGTAGCATTAGTTCAAAAGGTAAGAAAAACACTTTTTCAGTGCTGTCAGATAGCTAAGTGCATTGACATATATCCTGGTTATGTTAAATAATAAGATGGGTTTCTACAGAAATGTAATATTTTTCTATTTAGTGAAGTGTAGGAGAACAAATTTCTGTTCATGATCATGAATTTGTTCATAAAAGAAAAACTCATATTTTGGAACACATTTTGTTCCTTTTGCAGAATATTGATAAATAAAAGCCACTTTAAACTGTACTTTAAGGAGCTGTGATTAAAGCACTTAAATATGTAACATTCATGGCTTTCTATTATTCAGTGGCTCCATCGTTGTTCCTCGATAGGGAAAAGGCCCATGTGTGTCAGCACATGAGGTGGTCGCATTGCGTTTAATTAGCTAGTTAGTCCCTGTCTATGTGAAGAATGTTATTATGTCTGATTAATACGACACCATGGCTTTGTTTCTACATTATGTGTGTAGAAACACAACTCCTTTCTTTAACATTATATAGATGATAAAAACAAGTAAGTCATGCGTATAATTTATAAATTAGTTTGCCTTTTTTTCTAAAGCAGGCAGACATTTATAGACCCAGTTTAAAAAGGAAAAAGAACTTGTGCATATGAGGAGTCTTATACAAAGCTCTCTTCTAAAGGCAATATTAACTAAGTTACATTTAATAAGGGAGTGAATGACTGCTATAGAATCTGAGAGGGGAAACAAAAGAGAACACATTTAGCCCATATATACAGTTGCATACATTGAATAATATTGTTTTTTCAGATGTTTTCTAAAAGTAAATAACAGTGTTGGAATTCTAAATTCACTCATTTCACTTTGTCGAAAGCATTTTGTGCGACTCACTCACTGAATTCGTTTTAATTCATTAAGCTCAGAGAACAATGCATTATTAATAGATGATGCAATGTTTTCAGCTCAGTGTAAACATGTATAGATATTATAGATATTATATCTTTTGTTAAAAAAAATAAAATAAAATATGTGACAAATGTGATGAACTCTGTAGCCCTATTTTATCCAGTATTGCCACAAATACTGCTTTTACAGCCTCGAGCTTGACAGAGCAGGCATGTTTTAAATGGTAGAAAAGAGATTAAGTCATATAATCGCTTTTCTACCAACGTGGTGTGGAGTCATCTCGGTCTTGGTTTCTTTTGAGAACTCTCCAACATTTGACAGATTTGTTTATGTTGATTTAGAGATGAAATATTTAGTTTGGAAACTGGTTCAGCATATCAACAGGAGAAAATATCAACTTCAAGAATCAGCAGTCCAGCTTCTTCAATATGAAAATGTACTTTTTTGTGGCTATAACATCTGTCCTCAGAATTTTGAGTGTTGGAAAAATCAATAAAATTATCTAAACATTGATAGATATCAGGAAAGCAATGGTTGTTTGCGCCTTAATCTATTTTCACTGAACTTTCTGTCATCCACCTAATTTTTGAACCACTTATTGAACTCTTATTAAACTCCCAGCTGTCATAGGGTAAGTGGCAACGTATATCCTAGCCAGGTTACTGGTTCATAATGGGGCTTACACCGAGAGACAGATGGTTTCACATCGACACACATGACAAATTTAGAATTACCAGTTAACCCAATATGTATGTCTTTGGACTCTGGGAGGAAGCTTGAGTATCCAAAAGGAATCCAGAGACACACAGGGAGAACATCCAAACTCCAAACAAGACCTGATGCAACGATGCTGATGACTTAATTTTCCGTACAGTTTTGTGTATTGCGATTCATTTTTATCTTTTAAGGAATTCTGTTTCAGACATCCGTATTGTCTTGTTCATGTTTTTTGGCTCGCATTTCATTTCCCTTTTTAAAAGCACTGTGTCCTCTTTTCTCTTTTTCCTCCTCGTAGGAACAAGCCCACAAGACAGTCCTAGAAACTTCTCTCCTAGTGCCTCTGCTCATTTCTCGTTTGCACGAAGGTAACCAGATGCAAATTCTTTAAAAACAGATGTGAAGTCATTGAGTCATTAAAGAAGTCTTTTCTAAGCCAGCACATGTGTAAATATTCAGCTGCTCAGGTCTGTTTATACTTACAAATTCAGCATCAGGAACATTTATTTTATACCATTTGTCAACACGATATCATATAATTCTGTATTTCTCTATCCACAGTCATTGCCACAGAGCAGACAGGTAAACTCGTGTTAGGCTTCGATTTTCTGTGAAATATTTATTACCCCACATCTGTCTGAAGTACACTTTATCATTCACATGTCCTTCATTAGTGTGCCTCACAGTAAAGGGGACACATTACGTTTTTACTTTAAGTCTAAGTGCCAGATATACATATTAAATAAGGCTAAAATTTGGCAAAGTAAACAAATGCAAACAGAATCCCAGAGAGCCAAAAAGTCAGATCGAATGCTAGTTGTTTTTTCCTACTTTGCAACCAGCTGTGTTTTCTCTCCCAAAACATTCTTTTGAGTTGTCTTTATTTTTCCATATTTTTACAAATAGCCAGTGTTGCAAGGATGACGCTACAGTCATTTGGCAACAGTGGAGTAACTTTTTACTTGCTGTGTAACCTTTGGTATTTTTTAGTAGGCGTTTTCCATCTCAGCTGGCTCGGGTATCAGGCCGATCTACTTGGTCTTAAATGGTTGTTGGGAGAAGAGAGAGAAGATGACACATGGTTCTAATTCATGTGGATCAGTTTTTTAATTAATGTTTGCTGTCAAGAGGATGAAGTGCTGCTCACAAGCACCAAGTGTTGGCCAGTGACAAGAAAGTGGACTTTCAAATTGGTCAACAAAGGGGCTGCAGGCCAAGATGTTTATGAGCAGTATAATTTACTTAAAACTGTAAATCATGCAGAGGTGGCGCTCCACTCTATTGGAGTGCCACACTAACAAAGCAGAGCTGAAATGAGTATAATATGTCCCCTTTAACTCTGAGCCTTTGTTGTACTTCATTTTAACCAATAGTTTTAGTTCTACATTCACAAACTCTGTTTCTGTATTTTCTGCTTTTTTGTACAGTGTCAAGTAACTAACAGGATTATTTTTTAACAAGAGAAAGCTCAACATTTATCTCCAAACATCTCATTGGAGATGTAGACGTTATCTTAAATGTTTAAACCCAGAATTTGTGTCTTCGGGGAGATGAGCATGTTTGGAAAAAGAACTTGTCTTTGTCCCAAGAGAAATTCGTCATACTTGCTGATGTATTTATTTGTCATTGATGGCGTGCATCTGTTTGTCATTGGTGTTGTGTTGCAGGACTGATGGTCGTCGCTGGTCACTGGCCTCCCTTCCCTCCTCTGGATATGGAACCAACACACCGAGCTCCACTGTCTCTGTAAGCATCGCCCACTCATGATGTCAGTGTAAATATTTCATAAACAGAATCACAGATATGTGTGACATAGAATTGAACCTAGAGCCAGACCCGGTTTAAATAGATTTGAAAAGATTCAAATGTTTAAAACGGTGATAAAGCCATGTCATCATTGCTGCCTGTGTAAAACAGGCACGAGGCAATCCCCTGCAATTCCTAATGATAAAACATTATGGTGATGAAGGTAAATCACAAGAAAGAACAAAGTAAAACAGTTTCAGAATTTTTTTCTCTTAGTCTTTACTCAAGTTTTTACATATGACTCAGTGACAACATGTCTGAACTGCATTTGGAGAGCCTTTATGTCTAGTTTTTCTTACATTTATAAGAGTATAAATGTTAAACTGTTCCCATATGTCAGCTTTATCCTGTACAGGAAGCCGAGCTTTGACTACTGTACAATACTGTGTATACAATAACACTCATTTACAGGAATTACAATGTGCCGGGGGACTGAAAATGACCCGCACTAATGCTATGTTTTTGTTTTGTGTGGCGTTTGGTCACCTAGTGCTTTTCCTGCTATTCAGATGCTCTTTGGAAGGCAAACACATAGTTTCAGCAGATACAGCGTGTGTCAGCCTGTATTAGAAACAATAAGGCTTTTGGTATGCGCCAAGGGTTGGGCTCAGATTTCCTTAATATATTATAATCCACGTGTTATTTTATTATTGCCATTAGTGCTGAATAATTTGCGCATTATATGGCTCAGTGTTTTAAAGGTTTACTTTTTCATTATGGGATTTCTTAGAGCAGCGTTGTTGACCATGGTGCACATGATTGTTGAGGATAGTTACATGCTTACATACTTTCTTGACAACAGTTACTTCGGTCTCATACACTCATATTTGTTGGTTATGCACAGTCTTAACCCATCTTAACATTTTTTCACTTCTTATAGTGGTTAAGCTAACAGTCTCCCAACAGCAGTCGCATATATAACACACAGACAGAAGATCTACAGGGGAAAACATTTAAAAGAAACCACAAAGACAGGCCACTACAACAATTTTTTTCCCCACTAAGGAAAATTTATTTTTCTTTTTCTTTTCATGTTGAATGTATATTTGTTTCATTTCCAGTCATCCTGTTCATCACAGGAGAAGCTGCATCAGCTGCCCTTCCAACCTACGCCTGATGAACTGCACTTCCTCTCCAAACACTTCTGCACTGAGAGTATCTCGGGGGATGAATGCCGCAGAGCGACGGCAATGCGACCCCGGTCACGCAGTCTCAGGTATTAATGTACTTCTGCGAATATTTTCTCTCAGATGTACGTGGCATTGGTGGGACTAAACCAGCGATTTTATTCAGAGGTTTTTTCCTTTTCTTTTTTCAGCCCTGGAAGATCTCCGTCCTGTTACGATCACGAAATTATAATGATGAATCACGTCTACAAGGAGCGGTTTCCTAAAGTGAGGACCCACAAGACCTTACAGTTCTGTTTGACCACAAATTATCTGCATTATCAAACTTGCTCCGTCGCTTCTTTCTGCAGGCCACAGCTCAGATGGAGGAAAGGATTCAGGAGATCATCCGCAGCAACTCTCCTGAGACCGTCCTCCCCTTGGCAGATGGCGTGCTTGGCTTCGCCCATCACCAGATAATTGAACTGGCCCGCGACTGCCTGGAAAAGAGTCGGCTGGGACTCATCACCTCCAGCTACTTCTGCGAACTCACCGACAAGCTGGAGAGGCTTGTACAAGAGGTGAGAACATCTGCAGAAATCATGTAGATGTTTCCTCATGACAGTTCAGCAATAAGACATGTTTAGGACTCTGAATTTTACCGTAACATTAGAGTTGCACTGCAAACATTTTGTTTTCTTCTTCTGTTGATGTTGTGTAGTCCACAGAGAGGTCAGAAAGCGAGGAGGTAAACTTCATCAGAGAGCTGGTAAAGAAGATCCTTATAGTGATAGCTCGACCTGCTCGGCTGCTGGAATGTCTGGTATGTTTATAGCCTTATTGTTTTTCTGCCTAAGTCTAAAATGTGCTGATGGGTGCTTGTCTTGAATATTTTATATGAAGTGACTGCCACTGTTTAAATGCACAAAATAATTTAACAAAAAAAACAAGAAAAGATGGAGATGGTTCATAATGAGCGCTTCATCTGGATGGGTAATTTGTCTGAATGTTTTGTAATTGTGTGTGTTGCTACATCTGGTTTCTTTGCTATTTAAGGTTATTTCAAATGACTCTGGAGTCAGCAGCTCAAATCTATCAGTCTAAAAAATATTCTATAAAAGTTCTATACATTTCCATTATTCAGGTAACACTTTCTGCAATTCATCTAAGTGTCTGTCGTATTACAGAATCAAAGAGAGGTTAAAGTGGCTAAAATCAGAATTAAATTTAAAGCTGTTATGACTTACTTCAGCCGAACAGTACCTACCTCATACCTGATGGCAAGCTGATAAACACGGAGTAATTTAGAAGCCAAAGAAATATCTCAAAGGAGAAAGTAGAGACTACAACAAGCCTAAAGAAAGTAAATTCTGGACTAACCTATACCTAGAGAAACCTTTCCCTCACATTATGTTGCTCAGGCTGCTTGAGAAACTTGTTTGCTTATAAGTTTGCCATGGCAATCTAAAAAGTGAAAGTTCAACTTCTACTTCCTCTAAGCTGAAAATAAAGCGTAAATAAGTATGTTTTCCTTCGCTCAATAGAGCTCCTACTTGATCTCAAACTACAAGATCAGGAATTTGTTTACTGTTTACTTGTTTATTTAAAGTTGTTCATAGCAATATATAGGAAAGTGTTTTGCTGTCTCTTCAGGAGTTTGACCCAGAGGAATTTTACCACCTTCTGGAAGCTGCTGAAGGACACGCTAAAGAAGGCCAGGGCATCAAAACAGACATCCCTCGTTACATCATCAGCCAGCTGGGACTCACACGAGATCCTCTTGAAGGTACACGAAGGACTTCATCATCATCATTGTTGTTATTCCTAATACCATTAATACATTTAAATGCTGCATGTAATATAGAGTAAATATATATTTACATAAAGAATGTAAGTACAACACCTAATTAAAACAGATTATTTTGCATTTAATGTCAGAAACAAAAAACAGAAAAAGTTTAAGTGTAATGTTAAATGTTATATATTTAATCATCGATCATACTATAATATGTAGTATCCTGTATAACCGCAGTAAAGTTGTATTATTAGAATATATCCTTTTATTATTATTATTATTATTATTATTATTATTATCATACTATTATTACATCAGGAGAGCAAAGGAGTAAAGAGAGCACAGGATAATTTGTCAGGGTAAGGCTGTAAAGCAGGATTTGGCAGTTTGTTTTCCCACAAGGCCAAATGAGAAACTGGGACTGTTGTGGAGGGGCACAACAATATGCTGAACACTGTTCTGCTCAATATTTATTTCGTTAGAGCGCTTTGAGGTGACTGCTGTTGTGATTTGGCTCTGTATAAATAAAGCAGAGTTGAATTAAATAAGCTTCTTGGTGCAGCCCTCCACAACAGTCCCTTTTTCATGGTTCCCTTTTGAAAATGAATGTCCCACTCCTGCTCTAAAGGAACGCTGGAACTGAATTGTGGAGGGAAGTTAAAGACAAAGATACTCTTGACTAATGTCCTGTACCAAACAGATCGTCTTTCTAATGACCCTCTGTCTCTCCAGACTCTGTAACCAGCAACATTCATTATGACTAATTAGAAAAGAATGGCCTCCCCACAGACCTTATACAGATCTACACAGGCGGGCTCATCAGCCAGTCTCTCCATTTATTTCCCCCGAGTGTCTCCCGTGTTTCGTTTGCCCAGCACCTCGTGTGCCGGAAGCAAACCTTGGAGGAAGGACAGATGTTAAATAGTACTGAAAATGTGTTTACAAGCTCTCCAGGGACGAGACAAACAGCACACATGGACTTTGCCATGGCTGCACAGACGAACATGCACTGAAAAAGATGCAAGGTGGTTTTTAATGAGCAGTTGTTCTGGGGTGGTGATTTTCAAAATGAGCGTAAGATGTGCATTTGTGTTGCCAGTTTTGATTTCCGCCTCATTTGTCCTCAATTCAGCTTATATTGAAGTCAGCACCTCAAACCTAATAGGTGAATAAAAGCTGAAGTCAGCTGTTTTTGTTTTGTTTAAAGGGCCTGATTTAATTTAGGCCGGCTTTGTTTCAGTAACTGCAGTTGAGAACCTGTGTGTCAGTTTCTCATGAAGTTAGATTCATAGTTTTGTCACATCAAACCTGCTGCAGCTTTGCTCCTGATTATTTCTCTGTTTCTTTTCTAGAAATCGCTCAGCTGACCAGCAGTGACAGCGGAATTGCAGAAACTCCAGAAACAGATGACTCTGTAAGTGCTTAGACATTGATTACATTATTGATCTAGTTCATCTTTACTGCAGGCGAAGCAGTGAAATCCAGATTTTATCTTTTTGATTTGTTTTAGCGTTTATCTCGCTCTCGTCCTCAGTCTCAGAGTTTCAGCACGGCCTTGCGGTCCCGGCGGAAACCCTGTGAGCTGGACTTTGAAATGATAAAACTCATCAGCAATGGTGCCTATGGGTAAGGACGTCTCATTTCTCTATCGGACGATCTAATCTCTGCTGATAGATTGTTGGTTAGAGGCTGTTTGTTTCTTCTTTGTTTCGCAGTTTACAAAACCATACTGTGATCAAACCACACTTATTGTTGCAGTTTTTCTTCTATTCTTTGCGCAGCTCATCGGTAAACTTTTTGTTCCACAGAGCTGTTTATCTGGTGCGGCACAAGGAAACTAAGCAGAGGTTTGCCATGAAAAAGATCAACAAACAGAATCTGATGTTAAGGAATCAGATACAGCAGGCCTTTGTGGAGAGGGATATCCTCACCTTTGCTGAAAACCCTTTTGTTGTGTCCATGTATTGCTCCTTTGAAACACGGAGGCACCTGTGCATGGTTATGGAATATGTTGAAGGTCAGCACTCTATTTTATTTTAAGTGCATAGTGCGACCGCTGAAAGCAGTCTACTTTGAACAATGTCTTCTTGGTGTTGTTCTTTACAGGAGGAGACTGTGCCACCCTGCTGAAGAACATGGGTCCCCTACCTGTGGACATGGCTAGGATGTACTTTGCAGAGACAGTACTGGCTTTGGAGTATCTACACAACTATGGCATTGTTCACAGGGACCTCAAACCTGACAAGTGAGCTGTAAACAATATTTGTACATAAATGCTGGCACTCAGAGAATTATATTTTATTTTCAGGCTTTTGTTTTTCTTGCTTTTCTGTCAGGCATCTTTGCCATTTAAAAACAAACAGAACAAAAAAACTGTACAGTACTCGATCAACACCAAACAGCAGACTTGACATGTTAGTCATGAGCTATTGAATATAGCTAACAATTAAACTGAAGTTGGTGATGCATCTGTACTGTATTTAAAATACATTGTGACCTACTGTTTTGAGTAATGGCTGTTATGGCATAATTTGGATAGTGCATTTGTACACGTAGCTGTATTATTTGTCAGATACCTGCATTAAAATGCTCCAATAGGTATCAATAGCAGAAATATGTGTGAGACCTGACCAGGGAAGTTCACGATTCAGGTTAGCAGACAAGAGAAGACAGCTTGCTGCAAAAGTCACCTGTGTCAGCAACATAGGCAGTATAAAAAAAGGAGACATTGTTTCTAGTCTTACACCTGCATTATTTTTAATATCCACCAGGGGGCAACACCTGTGGGGTTATCCAATTTTGTACAAGTCAAGAGGCACGCGGCGTTGGGTTCTTTGGCTATGTATGTAACCACAGTAAACATGTTTCTGTTGGGTTTATTGGCTCATTTCCAGGTTTAAGATCACATTGAATAGGACACGAAGTCCATTTTGTAAGTTATGGGAATGCTAGGAGTCAGAAAGGAGGATTATGTTGGACTTACTCAGTGGCTAATGACTTTGAGACTGGCAAGGAGAAACTCAGTTCGACATCCCATAATGGGACTTCAGTGAAGGACATCGCAATGGCTGCACAAACCCTGCATACGGTCTAATGCAACAACCTGTCAGTCAAATTGCCAGTGCTCCTGATAATGCAAACTGATCAAAATTTGAACAGTTTTTTTTGTCAATGAGGAAATCTGCTATAGGAAGGAAAACATTTTTATATGTAAACATGTTTATTTCTACTATAAAGTTGGGGGGGGTTAACGTGGAGGTGTGGACATTGGCTCGCTGTGAGAGTCTTCTTCAACCCCAGGGGTACAGCTCGGTGCTGAAGAGAGCAGAAAGTCAGTAAATATTGGATTAATGAATCATTTGACCAAGACAGAACACCAAATGTGTTCTGATTTTGCTCTGGATTTGTTGGATGCTTAAAAGGGAAGCCATATTTGCTATATTTAAGTGCAATTAAATAACTCTACTTAAGGGCTGTGCGATATGACCAAAGGTTCCGTCCGTGTACCTGGAACTGCTGCGGGAAAAAGCCATTTCTAACATTTGAGTCTAAGGTTTATTTTTTTAGCACCTAGCAGCTCTTTTGCATCCGTAAACTCTCTCCATACTCTTTCATGTGATTCTTGTGTTGGTGGTAGAAGAGGTTTGCCGTGTTTGAGTCTGAGGTGGGGACCGGCTCCCTCCATAATTTGCATAGTACAGTTTTATGGTCCTTGTCAGACTTTTCATAACCAAACCATGTCCATGCTACAGAGGTAACCCCTCGTTTAGGTATAAGGTCCTCAATTTGTTTTGACTGGTCCTGGTTCTGCCTCATTTTCACTGGCTATGCTGGTATTCTCTGTGCCCAGATGGAAAAAATATTGCCGTAAACGGTGTATTTTGCGACACCACGAAACAAACGATAATGTATAATTTGAAACGACAGATGTTTTCATATCATCATGCAATATATTTCGTCATATTGCACAGCCCTAACTGTACTTCATAATATGTCTAAAAATTATAGAAATGTCTTCTTCCACCTTTGTGTTTGTTCAATAACATTAAAGATTGAACTGAGTAATTTTTATTTTTTTATTTACACATATTGGCATGGAAACAGCAATTTCTTTTGTGAAAAGGAAGAAAAATGGCCGCCTCTGTCAGTGTCATGCTTTAAGTTTTGTTTTTTTTCCCCCTTCATAAAAACAACATTGTAACAAAAATCACAGAACAACTGACTGCATTTATCATTTTTACTATAATTAAACTTTGTCCAACTTGGTTTTTCTTTTAGTCTGCTGGTGACCTCAATGGGGCACATTAAGCTGACAGATTTTGGTCTTTCCAAAGTCGGGCTGATGAACATGACCACCAACCTGTACGAGGGACACATAGAGAAGGATGCCAGGGAGTTCTCTGATAAGCAGGTAAATGTTGTTGAGCTTTACAGATGTACACTTTCTCAAAGCTCACCATATTTAGAATCCTTTTTGTTTTCTGCTGTACAGGTATGCGGCACCCCAGAGTATATCGCTCCAGAGGTGATCCTGAGACAAGGCTATGGGAAGCCAGTGGACTGGTGGGCTATGGGCATCATCCTGTATGAGTTTCTTGTGGGCTGTGTGCCTTTTTTTGGAGACACACCGGAAGAGCTTTTTGGACAGGTCATCAGTGGTCAGTGTTAACAACACCCCCTTTTTCAATTTGATAATTAAAGCAAATCTTAGACTTGCATTAAATAGTTAATGAGATATCTCAGTCGTGCTCAAAATATTTCAATTTACATACCTGAAAACAGCAACTGTCAAAATGAGATACCTGTATAATAATTAGCCACTGGCTATCAGACACTCTGCCGGTGGTATTACGTGATGGATCACAATCTGATGGTACTTTTCTGCGTTCTTGATTCCATCAATTTTGACAAGATCCCCAACACCACAGCCCCAAACCATGATAGCGCCTCCACCGTGCACTCTGCTGACCTCCTCTGTACATACTGATGATGATTGGAACCCTTTCTACATGTTTCCTTTCCTTATGAATAACTTCTTGACAGCCATCTATTAGATGAAGGTCAGGTCTTTGCTGGATGTCTTTCTTATTTTTTAAGGACTTGACTTTCACACCGTGCCTGAGATTTACCAGTTTTTGGCTCTCTGGAAATTATCTTGCTGGTGAAAAAATATTATCTGTTATCTGTTTAAGTGTTAAAAACACTCTCCTGAAAATCGTCAGGCGCCGGAGCTGAAAATGAGTGAAAAAGCAGCCAATATCCAAAGAAACACTTAACTACACTTAAAAACAGTTACAATAAAGTCTGTTTCTTTGGAAGCAAAATACAGAAAAATAAGGGGTGGCTTAAGTTTTTTATTACACAGTACTGTGTTCCAGCATCCTAAAAAATACAAAGTTTATTTATTTTCTTATTTGTTTATGTAAGTTTATTAAATACCTAAAATGTTACAAGACATATTTTCTGCTAATGAAGGCGATTAAAGGTGAAATTTGACCACATCTGGCATTTAGATGCTATCCTGCACATCAGGGGAATTCCCAGGCTAGATCAAATATGAATTAAACATTCATATAGTGACCACATTGAATGAGTTGTGTATAATTTCCAATTTTTTGAAGACCGAGATTTCCCTGAAGGCTAGCAGCAAACAGATGGCAGTAAGGGCCTTTAGTTCGCTTTAGTTCCCAAATGAAGTTTATTATTGTGATTTATACTTTGTCACTTTATTCCCTCATAGTGTCATTGTGACAGAGAAAATCTTCTTGAAAAATACGAGCTTTCAGCTTGTCAGCAGCATGTGGCATGTTGGATAACAGCTTCTGTCTGTGCCATGGAAATGAGTGGCGTGCAATGACTGATTTGGTATACTCGTAAACAAACTGTACCAATGTCCTGTGTGTGACTGTTAATTAGAGAGCCCCGAATACACTGAAACCATGCCACGATGGCCTGCGGCTGCACATACATATTCATAGCTTACACCCAAATTTCATTAGAATGGGGTACAGAGAGAACATAGCAGACAATCAGCATGAAGCACACAGGTCTGCTCTGTTCGAATGCTTGTTTTTTCAGTTATTATTATTTAACATTACACACAATAGAGCTTTGATTTGTAAGAGCTCATTTAAAAATACCTTTGAGAACAAAGTGGTTTAGTATTAGGTTAAAGTCATTTTTGGAATTTTTCAAACTATAAAATCCTATAGACACACATTTATTGAGATAATATCTGATTAATGAATCAGCTTCATTGAAGGGCAGCTGCCTTCAACATTCCCAGTTTTTCATGTGCATAGTGCTATGAAAAAAAAGTTTTTTTGGTTTGTCTGTTTGTTTTTTGTATATTTTTCATAAATTACCATTCAGTTACTTTGTTCAAATCGGTCCAAATAGGTTTGGATAATTTTTCATTTATGAATAATAAATGTATCAAATCTGTATGAGCCATAAAATTAGACTTACCTGTTATGTTACAACAAACTAATTAAGGAATAGTTCCTTTTTTTCGTTTAAATGTATTTTTCCTACTACTACAGCATTTTTTTTTTCACAGTTGGTTCACAGAAGAAAAAATATATTTTCTGTGAATTTGTGAAAACAACGAACAACCAGGAATTCTTCTGTAATTTTACACATTTGTAGTTTTACTGGACCGACCCACTTAACTTCAAAGTGGCCTGTATGTAACATGAGTTTGACATCCCTGCTCTAGTGTATTGTCAGAAAGCCGTTAAAGGCATTATCTGACTAGATGACATCCAGTTTTAGTGTCTGTCAGTGAAATAAAATCTATAAGGTGTTGGTATGTAAAGTCATTCTATAACACTGTTTCTGGTTCTAGATGAGATCAACTGGCCAGATGGGGATGAGGCTCCACCTCCTGACGCTCAGGAGCTCATCACCTTGCTGCTGAGACAGAATCCCCTGGAAAGGCTGGGCACAGGTACAAACGCAAAGAGTGAAGACCTTCTCATATGTGGAGCAGTCAGGGACTGGGTGAGAACTAGGCATGCACAACAGGCCGCTATAAATCCTCATGTGCTACCTCAGCACGGCTCATTATTCCAAGTCACTGGGGAAGAAATTGAGGTCATCCACCAGCGGAGCAGTTTATCCTGTGGCCTACTCACCTCTTCCTCCTGATCAATTGCAATTATTTCCCACCAGTCCATGAATCTAGCTTCATGCACAATCAGGGACTTTGAGTGTGTAGATCTGCAGACTGTAAAAGTGACCATGACCCTGAACAAAGGCCTTTAATCAGTGCAATGCACACAACCAGCTTGGCCTGGAGACATCCGGATCTACTTAGGCATCTAGATCTCCCCTCAGCAGGCTGCCATTCACAAAGTCTCCTGCTATTTCACTAAAGGTCACAGGCAGGAAATTGTTCTGCATAATTTATGGTCATGATAGCGATTTGTCCTGTAGCCACTAGGGGAAAAGAGAAACACACCATAAGCATTTTTTCTGTTCCTGTGTTTGAACTATTCAGTGTCCAGTGATTTGTGCGTGTGCTTTCTCCACAAGCAATTTTCACATTGTTCCATATTTATCTGACCTGCAGGTGGAGCGGCCGAAGTGAAGCAGCATCAGTTTTTTCACAACCTAGACTGGAACGGCCTGTTGAGACAGAAGGCTGAGTTCATCCCTCAGCTGGAGTCCGAGGACGACACGAGTTACTTTGACAGTAAGTTATCAAACTGCCTCATAAAAACACTTATTCTTTGTGTGAACTGATAGCTGATTGTTCATTCATGTTTGGAGTGTAAACAGGATCTAGTAGCAGCTAATTTTAATTCTTTTTCATGCGATTTCAACAACATACAGTGGGGGAAATGATTATTTGATCGCATGCTGGATTTGTAAATTTGCTTACTTCCAATGAAATGAACAATCTCTATTTTTATGGTAATTTAATTTTAATGGGGAGAGAGAGAGAATATGAACCAAAATCCATGAAAAACACATTACATAAACGTTATGAAGTGATCTTATGTCCAATGAGTGAAATAAGTATTTGATCCCTGAGCAAAAATCAACTCAGAACATGGTGGAGAAACTCCTGTTAGCAAGCACAGCGGTGAGATGTTTCTTGTAGTTGGTCACCAGGTTTATGCACACTTTAGGATTTTGGCCCACTCCTCTTTACAGAAACTCCTTGGCTGCTGCTTAGCAACTCAAACAACTGAGGTCTGGAGACTGGCGAGGCCACTCCATCACCTTAACGTGCTACTTCTTCTTAGCAACTCCTTTTTTGCTTTGGTGCTTTGTTTTGGGTACGTGGCCTCGCCCACTGGCCCCTCAGTGCGGTGAAGTTGTCCAGTACCCTTAGCAGAAAAAAAAATCCCCAAAGCATAGTGTTTCCACCTCCATGCTTCACTGTGGGGATGGTGTTTTTTGGGTCATACTCTGTATTTCTCTGTATCTCTCCTCCAAACATAGCGGGAGACTACATAAATATTTGTTGTCAGGAAAAAAAAAACTCTCAGATGTGGTTTTTGAAACTGTAGAGCATTATTCCTGGTGAGCACGCTGCTGCTGCACATCTCAGCTGTGCAGCAAGAGTTCAACCACTGCTGTCAAAGAAACAACCAGAACTGTATTTGAGACTGCAGTCTGAGCTGTAAATATGTTAGCAATATTTTGTTGCTCACATATGAAATTTGCATGTATGCTGTCATAACTATGGAGCATCAGCAGCTTTAAAAATAAATAGTTATTTTAATCTATTTGACTAATATGTAATGGAAAGATAAAATACAATAAATATACAGTAGTACAATTTCAGCTGCAGAATCTTGTGTGCCTGAATACAACAGAGCGAAAATGTGCTGTAAACAAAGTTTACATATTTGTGTTAATTCTTTCTTTGTATTTTGTGGAGCCATGTATCACATGTGAGGTGTAACTGTCTAAGAATGCAACACTGAAGTGCAAATACTCATAATAATGATAAACAGCCTGCTCAGAATTACGTGGCAGCATTGCGATCAAGTAGCCTGGTGTCAAAATGTTTCAACAGCTGTCTGATGCTGAGTTTTCAATTTCTTTGTGTTACTGAAGAAGTGAACAATCCAATTACAACCAGAAATGCCAGCTTAGCAAATCTGACAAAATTCTGCTTCATCCTTACATCCCATCTGGGATCATGACTTTCCTCCAGATGCTGTTAAAGTAAACTTTGCATTATTAAAAGGCTGTTTTCACTAAAACTCTCTAAGGACACGCAGACAACACAGTTAGTTTTAATTCCAGTTTAGGTTTTTTTTTACACTTGTATTAGTCAAAACTGTCCTATTACAGTACATCTTTCATTAAAATTGACACTGGCATTTTGAACAGCCTAATTTAATACATTGTTACATATGAAGTATGTCGGCAGCAGAGCAGCGACTCTGCCTCTAATTAAAAAGAGTGAAAACACTTGCATTTCTTAGTCATTATACTCTTTTTCTACTTGGGTCATCTTTTTGCACTGTAATAAGAATAACCTATAATAATGCAATTTATAAAATAATGCTCCCCTCTTTTACAGCTCGCTCTGAGAGATACCATCATCTGGAGACAGAGGAAGAGGACACAAATGATGAAGACTTCAATGTGGACCTGCGGCAGTTTTCCTCTTGTTCTCACAGATTCTCTAAGGTATGTCCTTAATCTCCCTCTTCACATTGTTCCAGTGTCATCATCATTACTGCCAAAGACGTTAGCAATATAAATGAGCTCGAGCCCTCATCTGTCCCGATCCCATTCTCATGGGAGGGAGAAAAACACGAGCGGCTGCCATTTCATATGGAAATGTGTGTCTTGAAAACACAGCCTCCCTCCTGCTCTTCCTTTATCTCCATAGTGTCAAACGTAGATTTCAGCTTTGCATACATTTTCCACTTGCAAATGAGATTTATTTTTCTTGGTAGTAATGTGTGACACAGTACACAATACAGACAAGCTGGGAGTCATTGCTGTGCTGCATTGCAGTGTGCTCTCCTCACATCAAAACAAAGCATTACAGTGTGTCTCAGAAAGCAGCAGGGTGTCTCAGAGGAAGCGTTCAGCTATACTGAACCTTCTCGATGCTTGTTGGACACAATGAAGTCTGCATAGCACAGACAAATATAAAATAAAGGTCACGAGGTTACCCAGTATCTGTACAGAATGTGATAGATTTTCTTTCTAAACCTTTTTGGCTCTTTTATTTTTAAACCTCTCTTCACATTTTGCATTTGTAGCTTACATGTAACAAAGTGAGTCATTGTCGCTGTGCGGCTATCAGGTTTACAGCAGTCTGGATTTGTCCCGTGGGCATCTGGAGGAGAAGGGAGAGACTGAGGAGAAGAAGACCGAGAGCCCGCTGACTGTGGACTCTCTCAGCTGGACGCCAGACTTCGCTGAAGCGTATGAACACCTCCATCTCTAAATCAAAAACGATTACCAGAGTTCATTAATTGCTGCATTTGACCATTATGTAGACTGAGCACACATTAAGTGAGCAGTTCATTGGATGATGATTGTGCTGGCATACTAAACACATACTGGAAGGATTGTAACACAGTTGTCATGGTTTTTTGGTTTGAGGTGAGGTGGCTACAGTTTGTAAAGAAAAACTGCAGTGGAAGTGGTTGAAGTATTTAAGTACCAAACTACAAGATGTGATAAAGACGGAGACTAAAAAAACTTACCTTGTTTAACTTGTCTCCCATTCCAGATCATCTTCTCTTGCACGTCTGGACTCTTTTTAGATATATGTAGAATTCCTTTAATGTAAGCTTGCACTGGTCCCTATGCAGAATCTTCAGCATGTCAAAAAAACAGTGTTTGAGTTTTAGGAAGCTGATAAAGTATCAAGCAGGCAAGTCTATTGGCTCATCCAGATGGTGAGCGACGATGGTGTTTTTTGAATGTGCACATGATGGGGTGCTGGCACACTCCACAGTCTAGGAGTGTCCATTTCTGCTTCATTTTCTTCGCAGAGTTTAAGTAAAACTTGACTGTCTCAGCCTTGGGGATAAATGCAGCACTTTCTGCATATTCGGGGTTGAAACATGTTAAAAATCTGTAGCTGAAGATGCAGCTATGATCAGCAGCTTTGGTCTTGCACACTGTGCAAATTTGAGAGCAGTGGCAAACTTGCACAGTGCAAGGGATTAGGTTGCTGAAATTTCAGTGATCAGGTGAAGTGTTTGACACACATTTTAGGTGCATTCCAGGAGCTTCTTGATTGCATCTCATATTTATGTAAAAATTTATTCCAAGTTAAAGAGGATCAACCTTGTTAAGCTCAACTCAGTAATGGCAGTGGTGTAAAAATAACACTTTATAAATTGAATCATACTGTTCCTGTTGTCCCTCATTCTGAGAAGTCTAGGGTGTTCATCGCCTTTACAAGCCTTTGCTCTCTCATGAAGACTTAAAATAATTTTTAGTCATTTGACAGTTACAAAACTCATCTAACGCAAATCTGTTGTTTTATCCAGACCCTCGCTGTCCCACTCGACAGACACAGACAGGATGAATCAGGGTCCTTGCCCCAGTTTGCTACCAAAGTTTGCCATCTCAGCTGAAAGCGAAGGGGATGAAACATCAGGCATCGGCGATCCCAGCAAAGCCTCGTTCTCCATCGGGGAGTTTCCCCAGGACGAGCCTGAAGCTGCCACTCCGGGCAGCACGCACAGCGGGGCCACGCTCTCTGGTACGAGCCGCAGTCTTTAGAATTACACACCTTTCCGTACATGTGCTTGGTTTGTACTTTGTAACATCATTAAGGTGCAGTTCTCTGGAAACAACAAAAACATATGATTGAATGTTCTTGCTTGTTTTATTAGGAACATTGTGCTGTGTTAAAGTGAGCTCAGTGCCACTGATTGTTTTTCAACCACGTCAGTTGCCCCCTGCTGGCCATTAGAAAGAATTCAGGCTCTAAGGGCAGACGTTTGACCAAAAAAATGCAATTGATGTGCAGTTGGCCTAAATGTATAATTTGCACGTTTATTCATTATTTATTATTAATTCATGTACTCAACCATTAAGAATGACTGTTATTTCTATGGGAAGAATAACTGTTTGCTTCATTCCATCCATAAAAAAGGGAGTTTCTCAGAACATTTGGACCAGCTGACACCCAGGGGAGAGGGTGTGGAGAGCCCTGACAGCACCAGTCACACCTCTGCTGACCACGTACCTCCGTCGACCTCTCTGCGACCTGAGAGTGCTGTAGAGAAGAGCGGAGCCGTGCCAAAAGTCCCAAAGTCTGTGTCAACTGGTGCCCTTTCCCTTATGATCCCTGGAGGTAAGTAAAAAAAACAAAAACACACACATATTACCATGCTGATGTTGCCTCAAAGTTTTGTAAGCTACATTGTTGATGCATGTGGGAGCAATAACATGTTAAGTATAACAGTAAAAGCAATGGACTTTAAAAATAATCTGAAAAAGATGAAAGTTCACTGTGAAGCTGTCATAATTGGCCCGTCATGCCTCAAGTTCCATGTTAAAAAGAGGCTGTGAGCAAAAACCTGAGCACAAGCTGCTAACAAGGAAAATAATCAGGCATGGTCAGAGCGAGAGGTCTTCACTGCAGGGAGAGAAAATCGTATTAGTTTCACCCACAGCTGCAGCAGAATTAATCCTGGCTCAAAAGCTTTTATGGCAATACCTCGGTGCTGACTTCAGGGCACGTTATACTCTGATTGATTTTGGAAAAAATTTAAAAACTCAGACGTTGGTCAACTCTTATTTTTCCAGATGTCTTTGGAGCATCTCCGCTGGCCAGTCCCCTTTCTCCTTACTCCCTCTCCTCAGACCCTTCCTCAAGAGACTCCTCTCCGAGCCGAGACTCCTCCCTCTGTCCCTCCAACCCACGGCAGCCCGTCGTGATCCACAGTTCTGGGAAGAAGTTTGGTTTCACGCTGAGGGCAATCCGGGTGTACGCTTGTGACAGTGACATCTACACAGTCTATCACATGGTCTGGGTAAGGCCTTTAAGCATTTTTCCTTTAAACAAACCCTGTTGAATGACCACAGGACTATGATAGCCGATGTATGATTTTGTTTTAATTGTTTGTTTGAAATAAATTATTTATTATGAGAATTAAAAACTGCATCATCCTAACATAATATTAGTCTATTAATGGGATTTTTTTTTCCCCCAGCAGTTTAAACTGAAGGCATTACATAGACTTGCTTTTATTCCAAATTTTAATTTTAATAAACAGCAGTGAAAATAATTTACAGATGCAACCAGAAGTCAGGGAACTGTGAAGTTTGTGTGCTTATGTTTTAACTTGATGCAATTGGAAGTCTCTTGATAACTACAGGTGTCGCCCTCTGCTGGCCACTGAAAACGATGCATGCAACAGCATTTTTCTCTTTTGTCTGAACCAAATGTTCTAAAACACAGCTTTAAAAGCAGTTTTAAATTATTCAGATGCTTTGAACACAAAAGGATGATCATGAATCAATACCTTTTCATGTTGATCAGAACGTAGAAGATGGTGGGCCTGCACATAAAGCAGGACTCAAAGCTGGAGACCTCATTACTCATGTGAACGGAGAACCGGTTCACGGTCTTGTCCATACCGAAGTGGTGGAGCTCCTGCTCAAGGTAACACACAATGTGTGTTCATCTCTAAACAGCTACTGTTAAAATATTTAATAGTTCTGATATTCATTGCTTTTGATGTAATTTCAATTAGAATAAACTGAATAATCTATTTAGGTCGAGGAGTAAGTGCTACTGAAATTGATGTTGTTTCCATTTTTTAAAAGTGAGTGCAGAAAATTCAGCTCTAATGATTTACTGGAGCGCGACTACAGTTGTTTTAATTGGAAGATATTTAAATCATAAAAGGGTTTAGGTAAACTCCAGTAATATAGATATAAATGTTTTTTTCTGATTTTTTTAAAAAAAAATAATCTATCCTCTTCCCAACATCAAGTGTTTTTTTTTCTTTTTCAGAGTGGCAGCAAAGTGGCCATCTCTACAACCCCCTTTGAAAATACTTCAATAAAAACTGGTCCTGCCAGAAGGAACAGCTACAGGAGCAAGATGGTCCGATGTGGCAAAAAGCCCAAGAAGGAGAAGACCCCAGAAAGGTACAAATAAGTCTTTAAATTACCTTTGGATCATTTGTTTCTTAACCCCCTCTATTTAAGGGAGACTGAGACAACCAGCTGCTGTGCACTATGTCACTATGTCTCTCTCCACGCACAGTTTTAGTCTCTGTTATTGTCTTATTGATAATGATTAATGATTATGAAACTGTTTAGATTTGTCAGACCACAGGAAAGTGTTCAGTGACCAAGCTCTGAAGAGACAGAAGTGTCCATGTTTTTTTTTCTTTTCCTACTAGAGTTTAAACTTGCGGTTCAAATCAGTGTATATACTGAAGAAAAAAAATACCGTTTCAGAATTTGACAGCTTTACAGTTTAAGATAAGATAAGAAGAAGTTTATTTATTCCTAGAGAAATTATTTTGTCATAAACATGCTCAGTGTAGGAAGAGAAACAGAGAAACAGAGGAATAAAGATATACAATAAAATACAATAAGAATTATCCCTATTGCCAGTCTTGGCCTCCCCCAGATAAGCTGGAGGAGGTGGCTGGGAAGAGGGAGGTCTGGGCCTCTCTGCTTAGGCTGCTGCCCCCGCGACCCGGCCTCGGATAAAGCGGATGAAGATGGATGGATGGATGGACAATAAGAATTGTAGGATACAGTAGTGTACAGTAGGATAGTGCAAATATAATATCAAAATAACTCTAACAAAGTATGACTATATCAGGTAAAATAAATAACATACCTATCAGCGCAGGTGATTATAAAAAGTGACATAATATTGTGCAATGAATAAAATGAGGCTAGCAGCATATGATGGGGGGATGAAACAAACATTCAATAACATACTGTTAAGTAATATTGCACGACCTGAATGAGAACAAAATAACATTAATGTAAATCGTAAGAAAATCACCTATAGAGCAAGGAAGAGTTGTACATTCTCATAGCCATAGGTAGGAAGGATTTCCTGTGGCGGTCGGCTCTGCATTTGGGGGGGGGGGCTTCTGCTGCGTGTGCTCCGATGGCACATTATGGCCCATCATTAAATGATTTTTTGTTAATGTTAGGGAGGTTTTAATAAATCTGAGTTGCTGAGTTTTATTTACACTACTGCATTTCCTCCTATAAGACAATTTGGTACATTTTTAACCATCCACACACAATGTGGAATTTCGTAAGTAAGTTACAAGCACTAGCTCAGTTATAGTTCAGCTTCACTAGGTTCTGCATATCCTGATAAGTTATTGAAGACCACAAGGTCGTATTCCTGCCCTGATACTTGTTTCTGTAAGCGTGGGAACTGCAGTTTTGTTTCTGCAGCCTAATCGTTCTTCAGAAAAGAGGTGAGTGATCCAATTTCCTGTGTGCAGTCATTACTCTATTCCCTGTAGGCCTCTAGAGGGCAGACAGATGGCACTGAGGGAGTCATTGAAAATCTGACGATCCTACAGATTCAGTGGGTTGTTTTCCATCTTTAATAGTTAAGAGTACCTGGCACTGTGCAGAGCAGTTACACGTGTAAATAGTAAGAAAGCAGCAGCCTGTGGTGTCCATTGTAAACTGTGAATTTTACAATGGACTGTGAATCGTCATCTCACTTTTCTTTTCACAGGCGCCGCTCCCTTTTCAGACGCTTTGCCATGCAGCCTTCTCCTCTTCTGCATACGAGCCGCAGCTTTTCCTCCCTGAACCACTCGCTGTCATCTGGTGAGAGTCTCCCCGGCTCCCCTACCCACAGTCTCTCCCCTCGTTCCCCTACTGCCGCCTTCCGCCCTGCACCAGATTTCACCCAGTCAGGTGGAGATTTTAACTCATTTTTGATAACAGCTTGAATGTTACTTAATATGTTTATCCTCTAATATCCTTTGGGTGTTTTGTGCTTATATATTTCAGGTGGCAACTCATCCCAGAGCAGCTCTCCCAGCTCCAGTGCTCCCAACTCCCCTGCTGGCTCAGGCCACATTCGGCCCAGCACCCTGCATGGCCTCGGCCCCAAACTGCCAGGTCAGAGGCTTCGTCAGGGTCGACGCAAGTCTGCCGGTAGCATTCCCCTCTCTCCACTGGCTCGCACGCCTTCACCTACCCCCCAGCCAACATCTCCCCAGCGCTCACCCCCTCCCCTTCTCAGTGGACACTCTGTCGCCATTTCCAAAACAACCCAGGCTTTTCCAGCCAAGATTCATTCCCCACCCACAATTGTGAGACACATTGTCCGCCCCAAGAGTGCTGAACCGCCTCGCTCACCTCTCCTAAAGCGTGTTCAGTCTGAAGAAAAGCTGTCTCCTTCTTACACAGGGGAAAAGAAACACCTGTGCCCAAGAAAACGCAGCTTAGAAGTGACCCAAGAAGAGGTGCAGGACGAGGACGTGAGGACAGTAGAGCGCGATTTCACCGGCCTGCAGAGTGTGGATGAAGCAGCCTGTGAGCCACTGACAATCACTCGCTTACGGCCTGTCGAGCAGGGCTGCCTAAAAAGGCCAATCAGCCGTAAGATGGGCCGGCAGGAGTCTATAGAAGAGCTCGACAAGGAAAAACTGAAGTCCAAGATGGTTGTGAAACGACAGGAGTGGTCAGAGAGGAGGGAGTCTCTACAGAAGCAAGATGCTCTGCATGAGTCCGATTCATCGGCACCGTGTGCTTATGATGGGGACGAAGGCTTTCTGGTCCGAAGCCAAAACAAAGTGCAGAGCAGCCCGGAGTCTGGAACGCTGGAGGCTAAAGCTGCTAGTTCAACTCTTAAAGACGTTCTGTATAAAAAGCTGAGCACACGTGTCAGTGAAGGCATCACTGAGCCTTCTGGTGGCAGTGAAAGTGATGGAGCGCTGCGATCGGCTCTGTGTTCTGGTCACCCAGAATGGCAGCACTCTCGACAGGGTAAAGACGGCATGAAGCCAGACAGACTGGACTTCAAAGCTCCCAGTATCGAGTTCACCAGGAAGAGGTTGTCATTCGAAGAACGAGAAGACTGCATGTGTCGGTTGACTTCGACCCTCCATGAGAACCTCCACTTTGGTTCTACGAGATCGAAGAGCCTTCAGCTGGACACGGCCATGCCTCACGACCACATGAAGACCGGACTGGGAAGTGTCCACTCGAGCCCTGAAGGTCTGGCCCCTAAGCTTTTCTCTGGCAGAGGAGAGAGCGCTGTGGAGAAACTCCATCTTATCTCTTCTGCAGAGTCTCCGCTTAGAAAAACATCATCTGAATATAAACTTGAAGGACGCCACGTCTCTTCTCTAAAGCCTCTTGAGGGCACCCTGGACATTGGTCTGCTCTCTGGACCCAGAGTTTCTAAAACAGAAACTTGTTTGTCCAAGATGGCAGAGAACACAAGTGACACAGTTTCTGTAAACCCACCAATACGACTTCAGAGCCCTACTGAAAGGCAAATAACCATCCCCCAAACAAAAACCACAGACAAGATGAAGAGCCCCCTAACTTGTTCTCTAAGCCCTGAAGCCGTTTGTTCTCTAAACAGCATTGTTGTCTCCAAGGAGCAATCAAATAATCCAGCAACAGAAATGAAAGTCAATGCAAGTGGTGAGAAAACACAGGATAGACAAGGCGAGTCATTGAAGGCCTCAAACAGCAAAGCAGATCCCTCAACTTTTAGTGTTAAACAAGAAGGAAGGACCGGTATGAAAGCCAGCCATGAGCACAGAGGCCCTCGACACAGCTCCCACTTCTCCTCCTGTGGAAAAACACCCTCCATACGGGAAGTGAGCAACGAAGATCAGGAGGATGAGGTGGAGCAGCAGGAAGAGATACCAGACACTACATCACAAAATGCTGACAGCTCCAAGACAGCAGTCTCTTTGATAGACTTAAAAACTTCCCCTCCATTTACAACACTGGAGGCTCGAGCTGCTAGTAAACCTCTGACTGGGCCACTGAAGCAGAGTGCCGACTCAGTTTTGGATACAGGTCAACTTCAGAGCTGTGAGAAGAGAAAAACTGCAGCACAGAGCTCAGACACAACCTCACAACCCGCTTCTGAGGCGAATGTGCAGACCAACTCTGCATCGGTACATGTTCCAGCGAATGTGCCAAACATTTGTTCCTCAAATACAGAACCAGGAGTTTCTGTCTCAGCATCAGCATTTGGAGCATTACCTGACAGTAAATCAGAGCACAGTGAAACATCTGTCAGCTCATCTGTGAAGCTGGTTGGAGATGCAGGCAGCTCGGGCTCCAAGACGGAAAACAGTGCAAGTTCCACAGCTGCAAAAGTGGAGCAGAAGAAAGAAGTTTGTACAATAAACAAGGCCACTTCACTGAATATTATTACAGATGCCACACTGAACAAAAAGCATAACACTGTGTCTGCTGCTGCAGTACAGGACAGTGGCATATCGCTGCAGAAGAAAGACGTTAACATATCACCAAAGACGAAGAATACAGCGGCTGTGAAAGATTCAGAGCAGCCATCACAGATGTGTCCGACTGAAAAAGCACAACACAGATCGTCCGATGCACAACTTTGCACGTCTGTTGTCAGTGTTAAAGAAAACACTGTGGTCCCTTCAGCAAAGCTCAAAAGTTCAGGTTCGACAGCTACAAGTCAAACTGTTTCGAGTCCCAAAAGCAAGTCGAGGCTTGACCCACAGCCCACGCTGCCCACGTCTGTGAAGAGAGAGAAGGAAGCAAAAACACAAGAGAGCACAGCTCCTCCCATCCCAGCTGTCAAAGGAAGTCCAAGTTCAAAAGAGAAGAATTTGTCTAAGGAGTCTGCCCCCTCGACTTCACACGTTCAAACAACCCACGACGCTAAACGGAAAGAAGCCTCGTCGGTATCCGCCGCTGATGGCGCAAAGAGTGAAGACTCTGTGCAAGCAAAGCCCTTGCCCACTCATGCTGACACGAGGCAACGAGAAATACAGCCCAAATGTTCTGCTGCTGTCAAAGACGTCCCAAACTCGAAGCTGAAATCTCTCCCTCCTAAAACATCATCAGCTCTGAAGCCTGCTGCAGCTCCAGCAATTAAACAAACTCTTGATTCCAAACCTAAAGACACTTCACCTAAAAACCACCCCACAGTTATTAAAGACCCCCGTGACCCCAAAACAAAAGAATGCGCCCTGCCTCTCACTACATCTCAGCAGCTGAGGAAGGAGCCTCTGCCGCCATCAGACGTGTCCTCTCAGCCCGACCCACCAGCTGTGCTGCCTAAACTTCCAGCGAAAACAGAACCACCGAGCAGCGCAGACACCTCAGGCAAAGGCTTCAGTTGTGAGCCTGCAGTCAAGATATCCAAGGATGCTCCAAAGTCTGAAGTGGTCAAACCGGACAGTCACAAGCCCCCGGACACCAGAACCACCACCCCAGACAAACCGGCGTCATCTCTCCGGAAGGAGCAGGGTGAAAGAAAGAAAAAGGAAACCGCTCAAGAAGTCACGCCTGCACAGAAAAACACTAAGAGAGACACTTCCAGGGCTTCTCCATCTGCAGCTAAAGACAGTTTAGACAGAGACACGAGCAGGTGCAAGCAGCTGAAGGAGTCACCGCGTAGCTCCAGTAACAAAAAGTAAAGAGGAAAGTGATGATTTCAAAAATCAAAAGAAAAACGTGACTGCTTCAAAGAATCCAGATAAAGTAAAAAGTTGGGATTGATTTGTGCAATCATCATCATGCCTTCTTTTTTTGTTTATTTGAGGACCAGGCAAGCTGTTACAAGCTGATAGAGAGGGAAAGTCTGTGTGTGTGCGTATGTGTGTGTGTGTTCAATAAGATTATTCATAACAACATGTTGATGTTTCTAGGTTTGAATGTAGGCGATCATTTGCCGATCCTTTCTGAAGTTTTACGTTCATGTCAATCGAATGTTTGGAGGATTTCTTTCTGTTCGTTGCAGAACACTTCGTGCAATCAGTGGGTTTAAGGGGCAACGGGGAGGACACCTGTAAAGGCCGTGATGTACTAGAGAGTCTGTGCCATAAGCAGTTTTGAATTGCACTCTTACTTCTAGACTCGGAGGATCTGAAGTCTTTTAATGCAGTAGACCACACAATGTTGTCGAGCAGCTGTGTTGTTAACGTTCAGTATGATCAGATTGTTTTAATGTTGGGTTTCGTGCAGTGGTACACAAAAGAAACGCACTATATCTCGTGCTTTTCACCTAAAACCTGAAACAAAGTAACTATAGGATCACGATAGGATTCTAAAAATCATAAATTAGTGAAGGGGCCTTAGATATATGGGAAATCAGACTTGCTTTTTTTTTTTTTTTTTTTTAAGCAAGATGTGGTGTTTATTCACATTCCTCTGGCATCTTGTACATATATTTTTGATTTTTATGCAATATAGTGTAAATAAGATACCATTGTAAAACAGGGATACATGGGCTTACATGATTGTCGTTTGTATTATATGTATAGATTTTGCAGTGTCATGTTTGTATGCTAAGTATTAAGAGTATCATGTTCTGCTTGTGTGGTCTAAAGTAAGCTACAGCAGTGTGTCTCATCAAACGTTTCCTCTTCTGTGTGACTTTCAACATGTTTTCACATGTTCCAAAATGAACTTGAAGAGAGGAGAGGGCATGAGGGGCTATTTCTAAAAACAGAAAAAAGAAATGTAGCATTATATAACAAAACTGTGAGGGCTGTCAGCGTTTCTCCAAGAATGTCTTTGTTGATGATGTGTTCACTGGCTGATTAAGCTCTGAAGATTGTAAAATACGGGACATTGTGTTTGAGGAAGATGAACCAGCAGTTCTGCATAGTAATCACAGCAGTAGATTTCTAGAAGCCGTGGGCCTCATCTCTGGGTTACGTCCACGCTATCGTTAAGGTCACTTGTGCGAGTAAAACGTGATCTGAAGCGGTTCATGTTAAAGTGCTTCACTGTCAGGGTTTTGGTGTTTTGGATGCTTCATAAAGAAGCTCCACCCGGGCGAAGATTTTATGATGGCTTTGCATAACATAGTTCATGTCTGCTTGAAAGTTTGAGGTCACTTTGAGGTGGATTTTTTTCTTTTCTGTTTTTAAACAAACGTTGATGGCATATCTGATCGTTACTGTCTGACCTTGTATAATTTTGTCTTGTTCAAACACTACCTGATCGTGTTGGCAAACCTGAAAAATTGTTTCACCAATCTAAGAAGCAATACTTGAGAATGATGTTTGGAGTATAAATGCTGTGGGTTTGATTTGAGTCTAAAGATTAAAAGAACTTTCCTGCGAAACATGTCACATTACTGTCGTTCTAAGAAAGTGCTGCACAGTTTGCTGTTACAGGTATCATTTAATGAAGCTGTCATCTGTTTCTCAAGTCCTTTCATTCAGCTGTAAACACACTTCTTCTTTTTCGATTGCCATTAGAGCCACTTTGCGCTGTTCTGTGATGAGTCGTACACACAGTTAGCATGAAATCTTGTGTTGCCTCATAAAATGGATCAACATCGATTTCAGAGGAAAATTTGTTAATCAAACCTCCCCATGCCGACGCTCCAGACAATCAGCTCGCTGAAAGTATTGCTCCTTTAACCAGCTGTTTAAATTCGGTCGCTCTTTCAAAGTGATAGTGATCTGCTCTAATTACGCAATGTGCCATAGCTTCCTAAAATGTGTTTCTGTATGCATATGCAAATATTCCCTTAGATGATTCAGTTGATCACAATGTCATGTTTAACTGCTCCCATCAACTCTAAGTGACCACAAACTTTTCAGCTATGAATGTGAATTTCATGTTAGCGTGCTAATACCGTGGTACTACACATATAGGCTGTTGTATATCCGCATACACTTGCTACCATTTACACACTTTTCTATATGGTAGACGCCTTTAAATTGCAAACCCTAAATGAAAACCACAAAGTAGCCTAGGACACTAGTATTAGCATCATTAGCTCTGTTGTGCAGGCTGTGTAAAACGAGATCCACCGTGTTGACCGGAGGTCACGGTATAAATCTAAATGTTCCACACAGTATGTGTCTAAGAGTGAAAGTGAAAACCAAGATTGACAGCAGAGATTTTAATGTTAAAAGAATCTAATGTTCAGCTGCATTGGATATTGTAAAAGTATTGCTAATGTATCGTGAGATAGTAATAAATGCACCTTAATCTTTACCAATGTTAAGTTCAAAGGGTGAGTACAGCAGAGCGGTTTATGAATCCCTCACTTTAGTTTTTTTTTTTTTCTTTCATTCCCCCAACACTCACGTTTTCCTTTCCTGTGACGACACACGTTTAAATCTTTAAAGCACATTCAGTGTTTGTTTACAAAGCGTCATGGATGTATATTTTGTATATTGTTGATTTGCCAAATCTGCGTCCTGTGTTACAGATAATGTTTCTAGTCGTGCGAGGTTTGCCTCCTTGCCACCATGATTTGTTTGTGCAGTAATCGATGTCTCTTCACGTCACGTTCTACTCTGTCTGCTCGTCTTTTCAGATTTCCTTTTTTTTTCTCCTCTGTGCAAAACTAGTATTAGATGAACTTGCTTATGTTGGTTTGTCTTTTAGAATATGTGCAATAAAAGTGTTTTGAGTTTTGTATTTTGCCCAAGGAAAGCTCTATGGATGTCATACATGTTGTATATTAAAACAGATATTTATACTTCTAATGTTGCGTAATACTGAAAATAAAATGGAATTATGAGTTACTGTTTTGCAGTTTTGTTTTTTGTTAGCCTGAATTGAAAATTTAGTTAAAGATATATCAGAAAATGTACAAGAATTTACCATAAATATGCTTAAAGCCACAACACAATGCTACTGTGTTGATGAATGAGATGTGCAGCCCTTTAATAATTTGTAGTTGTGCAGCCTAAATTCATGACAAAATATAATACAGCAATATATTTTTTCTGAATGCCATTTTATATTCTGAGTGATGAAATGTGCACATTTCAATTAGTTGTGGTTATTTGCTGGTTTAACTGAAATCAAATGTACATACAGGAAGTTTACACTTGATCACGATATGTAATGCAATTCCAAAAGGGGGCAGCATCTTTCTGTGTGTGTGCCAGGGCTTTTCAAATAGGTCCTCTGTTACGCAACATGCAGAGTCAGAGGATTAATGAAGTGTGGCGCACTGAAGAAATCTAAACAAATATAAATATGCAAAGAACACTGATCTGCATTCATCGTGTATTTCAAAGTAAAACTCTGCATGTTACGATTTACATATTATGAGCTTCTGGAATAATCAAATGAGCGAGCCTCAGAGAAATAAGTCCCCATTGGTCTTTTCATTCATGATTAATGGTGCAGATGGATCAGCAACCGCAGCCTGATTAATAAGCAAAAACATTAATTAGAGGAATGAATTGGTGGGAAAAAATGGTGTTTGGGAATAGTGCTGGGAAAATGTGCTGCTGCAGCTACAGGTCAAAAGCCTTGATTTGCTTCAACTTTAAAGATTTCTGAAAACGTCTTCATGGCTGCAGTATCAGAAATAATTAGTTGACCTTGAACCTCTAAATCCTGCTTAGCCTCAGCATTCTTAGCATCTCACCGCTTTACAGGGACACATTTTATTATTTTCACTAGCTTGTTTAACAAAGGAGAATAAAAATCAGATGTTTTTGTGTAACCTCTGAAAGAAGTCGATATAAAAGAAAACCAAAATCAGTTTGTCTAGTAGCTATTGAGATTTCACCTTAAGCATTCATCCATCTGCTATTGCTTCTTTTGAAAATATAATCTAATAGATTACCAGGTTGTTTAAATATATTATTGCTGTAGTCTGCAACAGAGAGATTGTAGAGTGAAGGCTGGCTGGATCATAATCCATTTTGGAAAGATTTATCAATACTAATGATGTAACCAGCCATGTGCATTGTTATCAACAGGCTGTGGGGTTAAAGGGGGAGAGAGCTCAAAGACATGCGTACATTGCAGAGAGTACTCAACAATATGCATTTAACCTCCCCCAAGCTCCACTTTCTATTCATTTAAATGGATATGATCAACAGCATTGATCAGAACATTGTATTCTACAGTCATATTTCTCAGAGGATAAATCTTAAAAAACAAACAAACAAAAAACAACCTCCAGCCGTTTTGTGGCGCTACCTGTGTTTCCAACTCAGCCAAGAGTGAAAACCTCTCCAGCGGATCCTGAGTCAGCTGCAAGTCCTCGTCCTGGTAGGCCGAGTCTGAGCTAGAGAAAAATCAGTGAAGGTGACAGCAGTGGTCTGTGGCCACCACCTGCAAAACCATCCCTGCTTTTACAGTCATGTGCATTTTAATTACCAGAGTGTTGAGTTTAAGGAGGGGGCATATAAGCTCACAGGCACATGTAGATTGTAGACACTGAAATCATATCGAAAAGCTTTCGCATGTTCACCATACGCTAATGATCACGTAGGTTTGTATGTTCCCTTTCTCCTCCGGGACAAGTGGAGGAATCTTGATAAAACTTTGCATAAACACTGCTTGGGGCACTGACAGTAGCGTCTGTGTGGTGTATACAAATATTTTATACAAATCCAACAGGATATATATTTGCACATGTGGCAGTTCAGTTGGACACAGTATGTTTAGTTTGTTGATGTTTAGTGTGTGCATTTTTACTTTTGTTTATATTGTAGACATTTAGGTTTGTTATGTATTTTAATGGTCTGAACAAATTTTTAATCTTCCCTGTGCAGCTGAGCGGCTGCTGGTTGTTGATCAAGCGATCAAAGTAAGCGACTATAATGACTATCATTTAGTCAACTATGGTCTTCTATATATTTCATTGTGAATGTTACAATCCATATTTATTTTAATGTGATATATTTTTAATTTTAGACATTTATATTGTTCAAAATATGACATCTAACAAGTTTGTCAAATTATTACAACCAGTATTGTCCACGCATAGCTAGTACCAATAATGCTAACTTGTGTTAGCAAAGCCTGTTCACAGTGCTAGTTTACATACTGCTAACAAAGCTGTACTAAAGTTCCTCCAGGGGGTTTAATCGTAAACAAATGAGCCAAATTTACTGGTATAAAATAAATGAGGATTCATGTCAATGAATTTCTGTGCAAGAGTTCACACTTGTCTTTGTTTTAGACTGAAAGTTATAAGAGGGGACAGTGAGTTGCGTGAGGAAAATTAAAAGTATCTCTGGCAGGGCCTTCCATCCAGTCATTGTTCTTCATATACAAACTAAAGTGAAACTTTCATGGTGGCATTACAGAGCCTGCTGGAGGATCGCAAAAGTAAGCACGTTTCAACTTGTGGGGAGCCTGAATGCCACGATGCAGTTTTATGGCAGTACATCAAACTGTTGTTGAGATAAATCAGTGTGTGTCGACTGACCAACCAAACATCATTGCCATCCAGTGGGCTGCCGTTGTAGCTGTATAAATAAAAGTAACGTAAACATGCAGGTAGTACACGCTCTAGCTTTGTAACATGTTGCTGGAGTTTAGTGGGTTTTAAAAAAAAAAAACATTATTTATTCTTGATCACACAGCAAAAGAATAAAAAGAATTTTATAGATAAAGACAATGAAAACAGCAGCGGGAAGACGGCTTGTTCCTCTAGATGCATGCAATCTGAGACGCAGATAGATAAATCCACTCTGGCCCGTATTAATTTTGCTGCTGGAATTTGCTCAAGTACATTCTGTGACTTGGGGAGAAGCCAAAACTCCAGCCCCAGCTCTCAGATCTCATGTTGCAACTGATGGCTTCAGGCCGAGCTTGCGCGGGCCATCACAAACACGCTGAGGAACGAGTGGGAAAGAAAAGACTCGTCTGTGTCACGGTACACTGGAATAAATTCTATGAAGTCAGTCTGTGATCGCAGCATGAATTCCACTATCCTGAATCTGCTGATTATAGACGCCCAGCCCAGATTGTGTGACATATAATTTAAGTATTTCTTCTTCCTTAAAGCAAAAAGATCCCTGACGATTATGCAAGAGCTCAAACTGTCATGTGTGCCCTGCTCAAGTCGCCGCAGCATACCTGACTTTTGTTGATACAGCTCTTCGTGCAAAGTCACATGAATGATGCAATGTGGACACAAGCAAAAGTGTTTGTATGTGTGGGTGGCGTCTGGTTGAGTTCGGGAAAGTGAATGCACAAAGTACACAATGCAGAGGTTATGAACAGGGTGGAATACCAATAAAAGAATATTATTTTCAGGACTTGTGGGAACGCTTGTGTTGCAACAATTAAATAAACAAACACAGTTATAAGTGAATACAGCTGAGTTTGAGTTTGAAATAGATTTTTGGGACTTGAACTGCTCCTTCAGAGCGCACGGGAGTCGTCTCCATGTGTGGCAAAATACAACGAGCGCGGTGATTAAAACCCTCGCGGCCTGGATTACAGTGAAATGAGAGGATGGTGTATGACTCGGCGATATTGTGGTCTCTGTGTAATGCTGCTAAATGTCGGGTGTACTGACAAACTGTGTACACTCTGAGCTCAGCTGTCTTTAGGCTCGTCTACCTTTGTTACAATAACTCGAGTTCAGCTTCGTGTGTGACCAAGAAATGATATCAGTGTTAGCATTTTAGGTGTTGGCTCGATGTTCTGCAGGAAGTTGTGGTATAACACATTTTTTCATGTATTTATTTTCGGATTGCGCTGTTATCCATCTATGCATCGTTTCATTGTGGTAATAAAGTCAGCCTCTCTCTACATAGACTTTGAAAATGATTTGAATAGTACGAAAAGAGAGCAATGTTTTTTTTTTAAATTCCCTTTTACCCATAATTCAACTTGATCAGATGAACACTGATTTAAAAAAATGTCATTAGTTTAGTAGTTTTGAGTTGCTAGAAGTGATCTATCAGATTTCTTTCTTTTTCCTGCTTGTGGTCTTCAGGACCAAATCAACCAAAATCATCCATTTGTTACCTCTTATCTGGATCCAGGTCATGGAGGTAGCAGATCCCACAGATGCCCTGACCTCCCTCTATCTAGCTTCTTCATCTAGCTCTTCTGGGAGCACCTGAAGGCATTCCCAAGCCAGCTGAAAGATTTAATCTCTCCAGTGTGTCCTGGGTGTGCTCCAGGGTCTTTGTTGGATGTGGTTGGTCTGAAACACCTCACCCAGGAGGCATTCAGATGTCTGATCTACCTCATTGGCTGCGTTCTCCCTCTGTAAATGGGCACAGCAGTGATGGTGGAGGGGGTTTTGAGCCCTGTGATTCTTCTGCTGTTCTCTCAGGTTGTTGTAAAAGCTCCATGAAGAGTCTTTAGTTGATCAAAGTCAAGGTAGCTTTATTTGTATAGCATGTTTAAAAGACATGTGGTCAAACTTGCAAACTTAGGGGATCGGCTGTCCACTCCCCTCCCTGGACTTAATTCCCAGCTCAAGATGTCTCTCCAGAGCCAGAGCAATTATAAAGGACCACCTCCATCCAAACCACCACCTCTTCAACATCCTGCCCTCTGGAAAAAGGCTCAGATCCATCAGGTGCAAAACCAACAGACTAAAGAACAGCTTCTTCCCGTGGGCTCTCAGAACTCTTAATGCAAACTAAGAGTGTGTAAAGACTTCCCCATCACACCCACTCTGACACTGCTGTTGATCATCTATGTGCAACATCTCAGTCTTTCCATGTTCTGTGTAATTTTTTGGTCCCAGTAGAACTACCATCTCCACCCTAAATGACCATAGCCTTATTTATTTATTATATTATATAAC